GGCAGCAGCCAGGATGGCAGAGAGTGACCCCCTGTCCCCAAACAGACACGGCTGGCGAGTCTGGCCTGAGCCAGGTGCTGATGAACGAGATCATGAAGCTGCAGAGCGCGGTGCAGGAGGAGCGGCGCAAGGCGCAGGAGCTCACAGTGTGGCTGCACTCCAAGGAGGACACGCTGAGGGAGATGTGGGTCAGGGACAGCCTCCTCCGCAAGCACCAGGAGCGGGCCCAGAGGATGAAGGAGGAGAGGGACAGCCTGAGCAAGGAGCTGCGCAAGTGCAAGGACGAGAACTACAGCCTGGCCCTGAGCTACGCCAAGCAGAGCGAGGAGAAGAGTGCGGCCCTCATGAAGAACAGGGACCTGCTGCTGGAGGTCAGTCAGTTTTTCCAGCTTCCTCCTTCTTACCTGACCCTGGAAGGCTGGGCTAGCACCTCGTCTTTGCCAAGGATGCTCCAGTCCAGCATAAAGCACCGAGCATCTTCTCTAGCGTGTGTTGCTGTGGTCCCTAGCTCAGCCCTGTGGGCCCAAATTTTACCAGTTGTGCTGTGAATGATGACCAACCAGTCTTGCCCTCACTCAAGGCTGCTCTCACGAAGGCAGCACAGGAACATGTACCTGTAAGCACACAGGCAGGACTCTGGCCCCAGGGCACAAAACTGCCTGAGGAAAACAGCTGGGGAGAAAGTTGCCCTGTGTTTGGGGAACAGAGAACTGGCTTTGCAGGCCAGAGCTCTCTCCTTTCTCCTGCTGAGCTCCGAACCTTCTCGTAGATCGATCAGCTGAAGCACAGCCTCATGAAGGCTGAGGATGACTGCAAGCTGGAGAGGAAGCACACGATGAAGCTGAAACACGCCATAGAGCAGCGCCCCAGCCACGAGGTGGTGTGGGAGATCCAGCAGGAGAAGGAGCTGCTCTTGGCCAAGAACCAGGAGCTGGAAAACACTCTCCAGGTTGGTGGGGAGGTTGAGTGTGGGCTCAAGGGATTATATGTAGCAGCCAGGGCAGCAGTGCTGCAGTGAAGATTGTGGGGATCAGCTGTTGCCCAAGAGCCCTGAGGGGAGAGAACTGATATGAATTTAGATGGTAGCCCTATCTCACTTCTTCCTTTGTCCTGCAGGTTGCCAGGGAGCAGAACTTGGAGAAGAGCCTCTCCAAGGAAACTCTGGAGAATGACTGCAGCCAGACCATGGAGGAACGCCGGGAGCTGGTGAACACCATTTACAGCCTGCGCAAGGAGCTGCGCCGAGCCAAGGTGCTCCAGGACAAAGTAGGTGCTGCTGTTCAAGGCCCTGCTGAGGCTCACAGATCAGAAAGGCAGGTGGGGCACCAGCCTGTGGAGCAGAGCAGCTGCTCAGGAGCAATCCCTGCTGCTCCTGCTGTAGTATCTGTATTTCAGCACTCCGTGTGTGGCAGCTGACAGCTCAGATACCCCATGGAGCTCTGGCCAGAGCAATCTGTCCCCTCCCTGCGTGGGGACAGTCTGGCTCAGGCTCTGCCCACAAGCAGGTGCTTTTGACGTTGTCTCAGCAGTTTGCAGAGGAAAAAGAGATGCTGGAGCTACAGTGCACATCTCTGAGGAAGGACTCACAGATGTACAAAAAACGAATTGAAGCTGTCCTGCAGCAGATGGAGGAAGTGGCTTTGGAGAGAGACCAGGTGATAAAATATTCCTCACTGCTTTTTGGGCAGACAGTGCCAGCCTGTCTGTGCTGTTGTGTGAATGCCCTGTGTTGTCCCTCTGCACAGGCTCTCCTGACCCGAGAGCAGTTCCACATGCAGTACTGCAAGAACCTGCTGGAGAGAGACGCCTACCGCAAACAGATCCGGGAGCTGGGGGAGAGATGTGACGAGATGCAGCTGCAGCTCTTCCAGAAGGAGAGCCAGCTCCTGGCCACTGAGGCCAAGCTGAAAAGGCTGCAGCTGGAGCTGCCCACACTGGTATAACTCTCCTCCCCTTGATGGATTGGGAGGCTGAGGATGGGGTCAGACTGTGGCTGTTCCCAGGCCTCTGCACCTCAGCAGCTCCAGCTCATCAGGCAGTGAACACCTGCCTCAGCCGCCTTCAAAATTAATTAAAACCATTGCCATGCAAATGCTGATTTTAGAAAATGAAAGATGTGGTGGTCTCTGGACCTCACCCTGGTTTCAGGCATGGAAAAGCTGGACAGATGCAAGCTCAGGCTACCTGTGTTTGTGTTTGGAGCATTTTCCAAAGGTGGTGAGGGGTTCCTCAACCACCAAAGAGTGCCTCTATTCAGAGACGGTGTGAGCCATTTGGATGAAATGGATGAAAGTTTTCTGGAACTAAATTAGATATATTTTAATTAATATGGCATCTTGTGTACTTTCTTGAGTGGCCAGACAGGAGTGTGGGAGTTCTGTGTTTTCTGGAGCTCTAAGTCTCCTGTGTGTTCCCTTCCTTGCTTATGAGGAATGATTAATCTATACTGGTTTTGTTTCAGACCTCTGACCTGGATGACTCCTCTTCCAGAGATTCCCAGGAAGTGAGTAGGGTTCCTTGTTTACCTTTCCCTTTTTCTCTGGGATGGTTTCATGATCCTCACCTGTGCTCAGCTCCCCAAGTATCAGCAGTTTTCAATGGCTCAGGCTCATTTCAGTCCAAAAGTCCAGAGGCAGCAAGACAGTGACAGAATCTCCCTGTGTCTTGAGGTTCTAAGTGTAGGAACACAGTTATGGCATTAGTTAGCAAGATTTGTTGAGTCTATGCAAATCAAGGGAATTCAATTATTTTTCATTTCCTTTTAATTGTCTCTCTTATGTGAGAACAGGCAAAAGTAAGTCTTACTCTGGAGCCATCTGTAGTAAAGAGTTTCACTTAGTTCATAAGTTCAGTGAGGAAGTGATTGTCACATTGTCTGGAGGCCAAAAGTGTAAATGAAGCCAAAGGAAGCTGGATCTATTCATGGAGGAGAAATCCATGAGCAAATCTCTAACTCCTGGCTCAGTCTGCTGCTTGCTGGCAGCAACAGGGAGAGAGAGGTTGTTTCTGGCATGTCCTGGGTTTTATATTCCTTTATCTGTTCCTACAAACTGAGGCACAGTTGTGATATTCTTGCTCTGTTTTCTGCCCCACAGCTTGTTCTTCATGTTCACCTGGATGAAGATACACAGGCAGCTAAAAGTAAGGGGAAAACACTGAGTAGAGCTCTGGAGAGGGATGATCCCCTCTGTTTTGCTCTCCTGAAAGATCTAAATCTGAATTTTTCATTCATTGAGATGGCAGATTTTTCACTAAAACTAAACAGCACTGATCCAAAAAGGATATTATTATTCTACCTTGCTCAGCTCAAAAATATATGTTGTAACACCTGGTCACTACAGAAGGAGTTTTGCCAAAATAGGATCTGGTGTGAAGTGCCATGATATTCACAACTTGGGGAGCAGGGACAAATTATGGATAAAACAATGATTAGCACGTTTCTCACAGTGGTCTTTGACACAAGTATTATTTTAACTCAATGAGCAGAGGAGCTGCTTGGCAAAGGTTTGTTTTGCTCCTGCTGAAGCTGGAAGTGGAAAGCTCTGTCTCTTTCTGAGTGTGGTGGGGAACTCCACCATCCTGGGCAAGATTCAGGGCTCCGTTAAAATGAGAAGTGACTTGTGATTGATGACAGGATGGAGTTCTGAGTGCTTTGGGCTTGGTTTCAGTTCTGCTGTGGACTCTGTGCACTCCCATCACAGCTCTTCTGCTGGAAGAACTGCTGGAGGGAGAAGTTACTTTGCAATGGAAACTCTGTCTAAAGCTGTGATTTTTTTTTTTTTTAAATCTTGCAGAAGATTGCCTGGAAGTACAAAAGCAGGAACTTAGCCCTCGAGAGAGCCGTCTGCCCCCAAAATCACCAAATGTAAGAGAATCTTTGTGGGCTCTTCTTTACTATGACTGGGGTTTGTGATTAATATTCTCATTAATGATGGATTTACCAGCTTGGGGAAGCACATCAGCAGCTGCTGCTTTTCCAAACTCTGAGCACTTAGTGCAGAATCCACCCTCCAAAAAGGGTGAGCTCTGAACAGCAAAACATTTACAGTGGACATCTCTCCATCTGTGTATAAAAACTTCTTATATAAAACTTCTTCTAATTACTTTCTGCCCTTCCTCTCTGGGTGGGGATGTTTTCCAGTGTGAGTACTGCAGAATTACTGTTGGTGCAGAAAACAGACTCCCAGAATTACAGATGTTGAGGGAATAAATGTAGTAAAACTGAAACAGCAGCATTACCATCTTGAACACACAGTAAAGAACTGCTGGTTCTTGACTCTGCAGATGCGGGGAGCAACCTGGTGTTAACAGTGATCTGATCAAGAATGAATTAATATGTTTTTAGGGTGGTTTTTGGTTTTGTTTTTTTTCCATTTCAAGGAGTGTGCCTTGGCCAACGAGGAACTGGCAGAAAAAGAGAGGAGGAGGATGAAGGACTGCTTTGAGCGTTACCGAAGGTCTGGGCTGCAGTAAGCAGGGCAAACCTGGAAATATCCATTTTTTCCTTTCCTGTCCCCAAGCTTGATTCACTGAGGGCATAAAATGAACCACAGAGGGGACTGATACATACTAAGAGTATGAAATGCTTGTTTGCAGAAAACACCTTCTGAAAGTTGTGTGCCTGGTGTTTTTTTGCAGAAAAAGAGCGATGAGAAGGGGGCTCAAAGGCCGGCACCACGAGGTGGACTGGGAGAACACCTCTGGCAGCGACAACACCGACACTGAGGGCTCCTGAGAGAGGGACAGCACCGAGGTCCCCTGAAAGGGACAGCAAAGGCTCCTCAGGAGCCGCTCTCTGAGGGGAACACCAGCTTCTGTAGGCCGCCTGTGCCTCACAACGCACTGTTTAGATTCTAAAACCATGCAAACACCCATTTATGAAAACCGCTGCAGTGACACTCTTCTGTGTCTCTGACGCCCCTTCGGTCAATAAACAGGTTTAAACACATGCGTGTGACACAGGGCTGAACTAATGGTTAATTACTGGTTAATGAAGGGCACTGCCCCACACCTCCATGGCCGCCGCCCGCACCCAACATGGCCGCCGGTGCCTCAGGGCGCGGCTCGCGCGCATGCGCGGTGCCATGCTGAGGGTGCTGCTGAGGGCACCGCCGCTATGGCGGCCCCGCTGCCCCCCGTGCGGCCTGAGGGGCACGGCCCGCACCGCCCCGGGACCTCCCTGCAGGGCCCGCACCGCCCCGGGACCTCCGTGCGGGGCTGTTCGCCCTGCCCGCACCGCTCCCGGACCTCCCCACCCGGCCCACACCGCCCCGGGACAGCGCTGCGGCCCGGCCCGCCCGCTCTGCACCGCCCCGGGGCCGCCGCCGGCCACGCACTATCGCCTGGTGTACACCTGCAAGGTGGGCGTGGACGGGGGGGCTCCTGGTTGTAGCTGTTTTCTTCTTTAGACTTGCAAAGGTTAATTCAGAGTGGAAAAGCCCTCTGGAGGTTTCAAGTCCAAGCGCGGTGTTGGGGAAGGATGTTCTCCGGGGTCTTGTGGGTATCTCTGAGGGTGGAGGTGGCACAGCGTCTGTGGAGCCTCCTCCTTAGGCAACCTCTCTCAGCCTTTGTGAACTCACGGCAGCCTAACATGATGGAGCTGACTTGGGATAGTTAAAGGTGAAGGAGGGAAGACGCTTTTAATGTCAAAAGTATTTTTGTCTTAAAAGTCCCAGGAGCTACAGTTACCCTGCTCATAAAATCCACTTTGTTCTGCAGGTGTGCCAGACCCGCTCAGCCAAATCCATCTCTAAGGCCGCCTACCACCGAGGGGTGGTGATTGTGACATGTCCTGGCTGTGGGAACCACCACATCATCGCCGACAACCTGGGCTGGTTCTCCGACCTGGAGGGAAAGAGGTGAGTGTGCCAGCAGCATCCTCCTCACGCCCTGCTCCCACCGCAGCTTCCTGAGCTGATCCCTTGTTTCAGAGATTTTTCTTTTTTTTTTTTTTCAAATGTGGCTCATACTAAAAGTTTCATCCAGTTCATTAAAACACACAGACTGTGTTTTCAGTCATTATAATTTGACTGTTGCTGTCTAGGATCCAAATAAATTGGTGTGAAGCTGCAGCAGAAGCTGTGGGATACACAGGGATCCTTAGTGGTGCCAGCAGGTGATTTGCTGTCCCCCTCAGGCTTTATCGCTTCACTGCTGGGTTTACTTGGATGTTTTAAATGTGTAGATTGATCTGCTGTGGAATTCCAGTAATTTCTAACTTCCCAAGATACCTTTAAAAGCTTCTGTTTCGCTGTAATTGCTAAATCATTGATCCTAGTGGATGAAAGTAGTCCCAGAAGGTTTGGGTGGTTTTCCGTGGTTAATTTTGGGTGGTTTTCCTGGTGCTGTGAATCCCTGCATGGTGTCAGTGCTGAGGGCAGAGTGCACTGAGCCTGGGTGTGCCTTTGCTGTGGTGTCAGTGCTGGTTCTCACATCGCTGTCCAGGAATATCGAGGAGATCCTGGCAGCCAGAGGGGAGAAGGTGACACGTGTGGCTGGCGAGGAAGCCCTGGAGCTGCTGCTGGAGAGCTCGGCAGAGCCCCAAGGCCAGCTGGCAGAGGGGGACGACGGGGAAGCTCCCCCAGATCCTGGCAGCAAGGGACACACCTGACACAAGGGACTGTGGCCTGTGGGACAGATGTGACACGTGAGATTGTGGCCTGTTGGACAGACCTGCCACCTGGGATCTGGGACATTCTGCTTGTGGCAAGAGACTCTTCACCTTCATTCCCTGATTTCAACTGTCTGTATCTAAAATAAACTCGGGTGTTGGGTTTTCTCTGTTGTGTGTCTTTGCCTTTGATCAAGCTGATGTCTTTAGAGATGGTGTTGCTGTTTTTCCTGGTACTTGTTTTGCTGACTTTCAGGCAATTTTCAGTGCCCCAGCAATGTTCCATGCCTGGCTTTGTTCCCTGCTGGGAAGGCAGACAGAAATTCTCTATGTGTGTTTGACCTAGCGAGCTGCAGCTGGAGCTGGAGGTTTTAGGGATGCTCAGGTGTGGCAAATCAGGAGAGGGGACAGTTGATACCACCTGAGGAGATGGGTCTCAAAGTTCTAAAGCCAAAATGACCCTGCAGGAGGGTCAGATCACCTGCTCTGTTCTTTTGACCTCTTCCAGAGTTTTGTTTCTATGTCAGGGCTGAAAGTTTTGTGTTTTGATCCCACTGGAGCTCCAGCATGGGGGTTTTACAACTGCTTGTTAGTGAGGGGGAGTGTGGGTGTGAAGGCAAAATTACTAGTGGTGGAGCATGGTGGAGAGAACTAGAGGACCCAGAAAGTTGTCTTGGCAGATATTGAGGGGCTTATTAGTGCTACTGCAGTATGTTAAGATTAGTTAGAAATGTAAAAAGAAATAAATGACAGATGTGGGAGTTTGTCAGCATGCAGCTCTGGGGTAGTGGTGGATCAGGCACTGAGATGATCATGTGCTTTGTTAGGGCTTTGTTAGGGCTTGTTCCCTCTGCACAGTGGAATACCCAATTTCTTAGGGTTTTGAGCTTGCAGTCAGTTCAGTTTGGACGAGCCTTCTGGAGGATTCCAGCCCAATCTGCATGTCAGAGGAGGATATTCAGGATCTTGTGAATATCTCTTAAGGGTAGAGGTTCCACAACCTCTATGGATCCCCCTCATTGAGCCACAGAAAGCAGTAAAACATCTCTCAGCCTTTGTTATCTTGGGTTTAGCAAACCCATTTCTCTCAATCAAGCATCTCCAGCTGCTTGTGGTGCTTCATCAGCCACGGATTCAGTGAAGGCACTGCAGGCATTCATGAGTTTCCTTCCTCTGGAGTGTTCATAACAATTTTATTTGTGTTGCATTGTAAGTGTTGGGTCAGAGCACCAGGAAAGTTGTTGTGTTCCTGTGGGTGTGTCAGTGCAGAGTGATGAAACAGGGGCAGGAACTTCATCAGCCAGCTGGTGTGTGCTCAGACTCTGGTGAGATGCAGCTCCCCCTGGAACAGCTGCTGGAGTGACCCAGGGTTGACAAACAGGATCTTGCATCTCAGAACTGCTGTGTTCTCCCCCTGAGCTGGGCTGCTGGCACCTATTAGCACTGCTGGAAAAGTGTTTGTTTTATTACCTTTAATCTGAAAATCAGCATTCTGCTTCCATGGTGCTGATGCCTTTGATGGGGCGGAACAGAGCAGCTGTTGCAGGATCTGTGTTGCCTTGGAAACAACTCATTTACAATCTGGCTTTTTTATTCTTTTTTTTTTCCTTACCTTTCTTACCTATTACTAGGTCCCAGGTACAGGAAGGTGATGCAAGTTTTTGCTGTGTTATAGTGCAAAATGTAGCAAAATCTGTGTTGGCTGTCCCTAAATTTTAGTGTTCCTAGACTTTAGTTTTCCTTGTCCCAGTGCCCTCTGTCACCAGGTGCTCTCTGGGGGCAGGACAGAGACAGGTCCCGGTGCCCTGGGGCTGCCTCTGCAGCTCTGAGCAGGGTGGGTGGCAGTTCTTGCTGCTGCTCTGAACATTCAGTTCAACATCAGGGGAGGGAATTTGCACATAATACAAAAAGATTTGCTGCTAAGAAATTACAGCTAAAAACCAGACTTTTTTTCTCCCTTTTGAAGCTGTTTTTTCTGAAAAATGTTGTGTCATAGAGCAGTGAGTTTGCTCTGGAAAGGAGACACAGGTAAGCACACAGACTTGTGTGCAGGGAGTGAGGAGAAGCAGCCTTTCTCCAAGCCTGACATCAGCCCTGTCCTGCGAGTACCTCTTGTGTACAGCTGGGTAGGAGAGGGCAGGATCTGGTGTTTCTGCTGGATTTTTAGGGTTCTCCGTGAAGAGGACCTGCCCTGCACACTGGGCACAGCGCTGCTGCCAGTAACTCTCACTGCACAGCAGCAGCAGCAGCTCACGGGCCGGCAATCCCGCGGCTCTCCAGCGGATGTCAGCAGCAGAGAGCTCATCCCGCCGCGGGAACGAGCCTGGCAGCGTGGGAGAGAGGATTCAGCACAGCAGCACCGCTGCAGGCTGCTCTGGACACTCAGTGCCCTCTGCTCACAGGAGCGCAGAAGGAGCCTGTGCTGCTCAGGATGGACAGACAGGAGGTGAGACACCATCATTCTCTCCCAGGGATCACCTGCTCCTGGGAATCTGAGCCTCTGCACACCTGAGGGCACGGTTCTGGGCCCAGGTCACACCTGATGAGAACAAGCTGGTGGCTCTTTATTTATCTTTGATCAGGGCTGGCAGTGGCCAGCACAAATGAGCCCAGCTGTGATTTGGCTTTAGCCTCACAGGGCTCAGGATCCAAACTCCTGCTCCCAGGCTGCCTTCCAGCCCAGTCCAACAGCCTGCTGTGCTGGAATGAGCTGCTGCTGCTGCTTTGTATCTGCTCCAAGGGCCAGTGCCAGGGCTGTGCCCAGCACTCCCTGCCCCTGTCCCCTGGCTCTGGGGAACAACCCAGCTTTGGGCCAGGCGCCGGGGTGGCACCAAGAGCAGGCAGAGCCTGAAAGGAACAGCTCAGCCTCTCCTCAGCCTTTTCCAGCGGCCTTTTCTCAGCCATGCAGGGCTGCTCTGTCTGCCCTGTAGTCCTGGAAACTTCTGGGCAGGGAATTCTCAGGGCTTTGTGCCTTCCCTCCACAGCCACATCCATGCTGGCAGGCAGGCAGAGCTGGGATGGTGGTGGCTGCCACGAGACCTGTGTGCTCACAGAGTACAGAGATGTGGAGCTTGGTGCACAACACTTTCCTTAGCACAGGCAATGGTGTCTGTTACCAGAGACCCCCCTCCCCATTCACCCCCATCCCTATTCCAAAGGGCCAGGATTAGCCCTGCTGTCAGCCAGGAAATAATGGAAATGAGTATTTGCACTGAAGCTTAGACACAAATATTTATTAAGCACAAGTCCCCCCACCCCTTCCCCTTGAGCTGTATTCATTTCTAATATATTAATCCATTTGGCAGATTATTTTTTAGAAAAAAACCAAGTACCTGTGGGTTGGAAATTCCCCATTAAAATGACATTAGCAAATGCACATGTAAAAAATAAATAAGCTCATACATTCAAGTATATGGCAAATAATACCTTAATAATACCTCTGAAAGCTTAATGGTCAGGTTCCAGTTCACCACCTGCCTAAGAGCTGCACAGGCTTGAGCCTGCAGCTGGTCAGGCCATCATCATCAATGTTTTTCTCTTTTACAAATGCCAGCTTGGCTGGTAGGTAGGGGATGGGCAGCTCCTCCTCTCCCCTCTCCAGAGCTCTGCCCAGCTCCAGGAGGGAGGCCCAGGCTCGGCCAAGCAGCAGGTGAGTGCTCCCAGGTAGCAGGTAAACTGCAGCCACCACTCCACATGGTCAGTGCAGGCAGGGTAAATGCCCATGAGCAGCATCACTGGTGGAAAAATATCTCCCTGCTGGCTGGGGATGTTTCCATCAAACACATTTGGAATCCAGAGTGCTGATTTATTCTCTGCAGGAGCGGCGCTGCTTTGGCACTGGAGTTGCTGAAGTCCAGCATAGCCTCTGGTCAAGCAAAGGAAAAATACTGCACCTCCTCAAGTCAGGTCCCTGCTCCCCTCCAGCTTTTCCAGCTGGTCCAAAAGGGGAAGGAACGACAGTAAATGTGATTTCCCTGCCAGCCCCCCAGGCTGGGGCTCTCCTGAGGCTCCAGGGGCTGGAGACAGGTGGACACAACCAGAGAGCCTCAGAGAGCCACTGGGAGCAGCTCAGTGCTGCCTTGAGGAGAAAAAGGAGGAGGGAAGGGCCACTGACCCGAGCTGCTCTTGGACACGGAAGGAAGGAGGGATGAGCCATGGGCAGAAAGCTTTGTTGGCTGTTGAAGCAGGGCCCTGTCACACACAGGTTCTGTCTTGGACACCTCACATCAGCTCAGTGGCACCAGGAGCTGTCCCTGTTTGCCGTGGGCTGAAAACTCGGGCAGAGACCTCTTTCCTCCTTCCCCCTGCCATAGGGCTGCAGAGGACTCCAGAGGTAACAAATCCCACTAAAGCTTAGGGTCAGCGAGGCTTTTCCCCTGCTCAGGAGGTCCTGCAGGGCTGCAGCTGCAAGCAGAGAATGTCCAGGGCTCTCCAGAGAGTCCTCAGCAAACCTAAAATACACTCAGGTGTGTGGGACTACAATGCAGCTGGGGTGGATAAAGTTTAAAGGAGTTGGGCTCTTTTTCTCCTGCAGAAGGAATAAAGCTGAACAAGATATTCCAGAGAAGAATCCAGAACCATTGGTGTAAGGGAAAACAGGAGGACTACAAAATGGAAAAGGTGTCTTCCCTTTCCCTGCTTAAATAAAAGTGTTGTGGAAATAAAATAAATCAAGGATGGAGTTAGCTACCCCCTGTGGGCTCCTCCAAGTTCCTGGGGTTTTAGATGATCAGCAAGGGGCTGCTAAAGTCTTCCAGGTGCTGTGCCCAGAGTTACGGTGGCCGAGTGTCCTAAAAAAACCCATATTTAAAAACTGTCCTCCATCAATTGGGCTCTCCCATAGGAACACGATGGAGGTGCAAGACTGGGAGCACAGGAGCACTCGGGCTTGAAACCACCTACTCTGTTCTCCCTTATAAAAAACAAAATAAAGCTGAAACAACCCCCCCAGACCAAAGCCCAGTTCTTAGCTGGAACCAGGCCTCTGCTGCTCCTCCTCGGCCTCCTCCTGGGCTGAGGCCAAATCCACACGCTGCTCGTCCATGCGTTTGGCCTGGACACGCTGGATGAGGCTGAAAAAGTCTTCATCAGGCATGGTGGGGCCACGGGGGATGGAGTCTGGGGGGGCACAGCGCTGGTCATCGATCCTGGAGGACTGCAGGGGAGAG